CGGAATTTTATGTGTGAAGGCCTTTACTGCTTACGTCTTATTACTTAAGGCCGTTTGTGTGCCATGGCCCTAACACCGTTGTTCGACAAAATGCTTATGTGCTGCGTGTTTAAATCTTCTAATATGGGTGGACACGAGTTTCCAAAAGACCCAGAGAGAAGGAAAAGATGGGTGATAGCCGTGAAACGTGAAAAAACAACGCGCGCGCTGCCGCTGCAGCAGTCAATCCGACGTTAGGTCGGCATCTCGGTGCTGCCATCTGTCCTTGGTTCGTCGTTGCCGGATCCTCATTCGCGTTCGCGCTGCGCTTGTAAAAGTTCGAGCTCGAAGGTTGAGCTGGACTTACCGTCACTTTTACGTTGCAGAATTGAACCCACCGCCAACGGAGCAAATATGTCAGCAATTTAACGAGCTGCGTAGCGACATAGTTTTGCATTACGAGCTGAAAAGCGCGTTGTCAACCTGTGATTACGAGTTGCAATCCTTAAGGCATCAATACGAAGCGCTAGCGCCGGGCAAGGTGATTATCAATACGATACTCGAAACGAATTTTCTTCATGCAATCACTTTTGAATTCTGTTTATCTCGTCTCTACCTCTTGTCGCAGACGCTAACGATACCACCGGCGCTCCTGCCGAAAACAGAACCGGAAGTCAAGGCGGATATCATTGACGTGGTAGGATCGCCCAGCACGCCCAGTGTTACACATTAATTCAAAGTGATCTTGACTTGAAACTGGAATTAATCGAGTAAGTTCTGTACATATATATGTATCTGTTCTTTTAACTGCAACGTGCCAATTTTCATATTGAAAGTTGTCGAGCACGCGTTGCCCCGTTACGCCACTGTATTGTGTTACGAAGCAACTTTTATTTTATACTGAAGAAATAAATAAAAATATAAACGACACCTGTACACACGCAGCATCTTACACGTACGAGGTGAAATGACGAGAAGACGCGGCGGTGGTAATTACTTATATATCTGTGTATTTTATATTGTCGACAAAAAGTAACAATGTACGGTCAAACCGTATAATTTATCTACAACAATCTACAATAGATTACAATATGTTTTTTTGTTTTTCTTGAGGGTACAGGGGTTGGGGGAGGGGGTGTGCTCGGCGGGAAAGGGAGGAGATACGAGATCGGGACGGGACGGGACGGGGGGGAGGAAGGGTGTGGCTGTCGGCAAGTGTGAAGGGTGTCGGATGGTCGTCGATGCAGGCCTTTCTTCGTTCGTGCTCCGTTACTCTCGCGTTACAGTTGACTCTTTTTTTTTGGGTTTCGCTTTTTTTCCCTCCGTCGTTCCTTCTTTTTTTTCCTCTCTCTCCTTTTAACCCTACGGTAAATTATTCGAGACAGCTCTAGCCGTACTTGGTACGGAATAATGCGTTTATATCTGCGATAATAATCGACAAACCGGCGGTCGTGTGTCCCGCCTGCGGTATTTCACCGCTGCGCCCGTCTCTCGCGGGGACTCCGTCGATCGAAAGTGCGAGACTAGAGAAAGAGAGAGAGAGAGAGAGAAATGATGTGCGGGATGCCGTTCAGCCGCGCACGTCCGACGTCCAATTCGCACCCCTTTCGTCTTCGATCGACGTCGTCCCGGCGATCACAGGCGCGATCAGCTCTTTCTTTCTTTTTTTTTAAATATTTTTTTACGCTCGACGGTCTCGCAATACCGGTCTGTTCTCGTCACAGAGACACTCGTCCCCTCCGAGACAGCGATGCCAGAAATGAGACGCGGCACACGAACGGTGGGACTGTTCTTCGCGCGAGTATCCTGTCCCCATTTCGTGTCCGACGTGCCGCCGTCTCATTTCTGGCGTTACCGCTCCGAGACTCGAGGCAGCGGCCGACTTGGGCCAAGTCCGTATCTCGCTCAGTCTGAAAACGCGGGAGAGTTTACCCCCTCGCCGGGGCTGCGGGCTGCTACAACAACAACGTGCCGTTACGTTTTGAAACCTTATAAAAATGTACACCTCGCGGGGTGAGACGCACGCCGCGCGCTTTTCTCCTACGTCGCTCTAGTCTTATCTACTAAGTAATAAACGCTACAAGGGGGGGGGGGAGGGAGGTTTTAAATGCGTATGCAACATTATCGCCGTCCGCGATGCTTCTTCTCGCGCATATATTTCTACCTACGTACAATATCTCTGCGTACAGAATATCGGGAACGTTTCCTCGATAATTCACGGAGGTGATACCGCTCGAGAGTCGGCGGCTGCCTCGCGTTTTGTGCATGTACATTTATTTGAGACACGGCGGAAAACGGACCGTGGGACCGAACGTTTCAACGCCGGCTGCCTCGAGGATGCGCCGTGAACGAGCGGCAACATAACGAGAGACAGATTTCAACGATCAGCAGACTCGCCGCGTTCGGTGCCACCGGGAACCTAAGATAAACGGAACGGAGAGGTGCGAAGAGTCTCGCCTTCTAGGAACGTTAACATTTTTTTTTGCTCAGGACAGTCAAGCGATTGGTGGTAAAAGGGGGGAGTCTATGGACATGCCACTCTCTTGGGAGGGTGAAAATAAAGTGTATCCGTCGACAACGTTCGTCGCCTTTAACGTTCCTGTCCCGCAGGCGTGTCGACAAACGCAATGAGATTTCGCCCCTTAACTCGCGCGGCTTCGTTTAATAACAATAACTTCCGTTTCTCTTGACCGCTCTTCCTCTCGCGCGTCCTATAACATGACAATATAATACGCATTACAATATATCATATGTTTGTACAATGGCGATGGAAGAGGGAGCGCTCTCTCATTCCTCTTCTCGATTCGACGATGCGCGAGGATCTTCGGGGTTCGAGAGGATGCGTAGATGCTGGCCGCAAGTTATTCACGAGGCACGCTGTCTGCTGCCGTATCGAGCCTCTAATCACTTCGAGCGATTAACATGCCGCGGTACAGTGGTGGACAGAACCCAGATAGCACGAGGGTGAACGTAAGCTCATAAAGAGTTCACTTTAAAAAGAATACCTGTATAGAATTAGAAAACTAAATATCTGAAGAATTCTTCAAGAATCGGCCACAATCGGGTCGTCTTGAAGTATTCGTCAGAAGTTCGTTATGGTACATCCCATATAGCACCCAAGCTTTCAGAAACATTTCAGAAAACATTGTTGCAATGTTCCTGAAATGTTTCTCAAAGCTTCGGTGCTGTATGGGATGTAACTTCACCAATCATTCTTCTATGAATTCCCGAAGAATTACAATTCAGAAAGACAGAAAACTTGAAGAATACTTTGCGCATTTACTGTGCTATCTGGGAACGGTTGCGACACTTTGTTTTTACTGATTGTGAGTCTAGAAACGTGCGTTTAGATTCAGGGTTACGTTCCAAAATCTTCTCCGAGGGATATTTTACTGGATGGCCATCCCGAAACCATTTTGAGCGTTTCCGATTCATTTCTTGAGTAAAATTTTCCTCGCAGAAAATGTTTCGGAATATAAACCTGAACCTAAATTAAATGCTTGTTTCTAAACTCATTAAAAATAGCGTTGCAACTATTCTGTCCATCACTGTGCAGCGATGAACAGAATGGTTGACGTAAATCTTCTTCTCCGAGGAATATTTTACTCGACGGCCATTCCGAAACCATAGAAAATGTTTTGAAACATAAATCTGAATCTAAACACGCGTTTCTAAACTCATTCAGAATAGCGCTGCAACTATTCTGTCCATCACTGTACAGCGATGGACAAAATGGTTGAAGGAAATGTTCTTCTACGAGGAATATTTTACTCGACGGCCATTCCGAAACCATAGAAAATGTTTTGGAACATGAACCTGAATCTAAACTCATTAAAAATAGCGTTGCAACTATTCTGTCCACCACTGTACAGCGATGGACAGAATGGTTGAAGAAAAATTTGCTTCTCCGAGGAATATTTTACTACTCGAGTTCCTGCACTCGTTAAAAAAAAGTGTCGCAGCCATTCTGTCCATCACTGTACACGCGTCTTGGCGTTATATCGTCGCGATCACGCCACGTGGCGCGATACCAATCATTCATAATGCGGCACGCATGCGGAAAATGGAGCGCTCGTCGTGGGTCCATTAGTGATACTTAAACTTTTCCCCTGCGATCTAACTTGCAAATTGTAATCAGATAAATAACTATAGATACGAGAGCGTGTCGAGATGCAATCAAAAGAATCAGCGTTCCACCCGACGGCCTCGTACGTGTCTTCCCTAATCAGAAACGTTATCGCGTAACGCTCGCTCGCTTCTGAGCAAGCTGAGAAGTTAGTACTTTAGTCTTCGTAACGCTATTCCGAAGTCAATTTTTTTTTCTTCACTTGTGTAACCGTAATGATAGCAACAACAACAACAACAGCGATAAGGAGAAATTTTAACGGAGCAAAAGAGAAACTTGCCAATAAATAATGAGAAAGCGGTAGTCGCACTGACTTATCGTTAGAATAGAATATTGACAGCTTCGACTCTTGAATCATCATTTATCTTCTCTCTTCCTCAAGAGGCTTCGTGAAACGTTATCTCGTCGATCTAACGGAAATCCCGGCGAATCGGTATCTAAGCGTATCTTATCGATGTGTCTCGAGTTGCCGCGTTAAAACTGAAGGGCAAGCTATTATCGTGGAAGCGGCACTTGCCTCTCCGCAAGGATTAATAGTCGCGGGAACAGGGATCTATGCCTGCGAGTATCGCGATATGTCTATAATAAATTCGAGCGAGATATATAAGTGTAGGGCTCGATCGTTCATTAACACTTAAAATCCTTTGCTTTTGCCGCAGTTGTATACTGGAGTAGTATTGGGGTAGATAGAATGTAAACTTGTTACTTGATTATTGTCGATTGTGTATCAACAAATACTCGCGAATCAAAGTGACGTTTCGAAGAGTCAGAAATGTAACGCCGGCTATACTCGGCGCTCGAAGCGACAATTTTTTTTTTGTCTTTATCAGAACTCTGAAGAATCGTTTGCGTGATTTCAGATTACGTCGCTACCGTTTACGTTGCTCGTCTCTCTCTTAATAACCGGTAAGACTGACTATTTAGTTTCTGCAATTAATACGCAGTGGAAACCCCCCTCTCTCTCTCTCTCTTTCTCTCTCAACAAGTATTGTAAACAAATACCCGATGTTTTATTCTTCTGAGTTTATCGTATAACGCAGTTTCTTCTTTTTTCCCCTCAATCGCTCTTCGCGCACTTTGCGTCGCACGATGGGACGTTAAATCCAGGCAAAGCGTGACACAGACGAAGGCGGGACACGCCTTGGTGAGAATCGGATTTAATCATGCGACTAGTACTTTCGCCATTCGAGGCCACTTACTGTCACGGTGCTTGGAAAAGGGACCGCGTGTCAAGTTGAAGTCACGCGGTCTCCCTCGCGAAAGCAGCGTGTAAAGTAAAATTCTGAAATCTACCGCGAGATTCCGTAGGAACGCGTCGCCAAGTGGCAAAAGTGAAGGAATGAGCGGTTAGCATGCAAAGAGTGGTGCGAATCCGCGACAAGCCGTACGCCATGTATCGCCGAGGGGCGATCGCCTCGGCGTGCTTGTTCGTTACGAACTAAGTAGAACCAACTTTTAAACAGACGTCGCTTCTTGCCGCCGTTTTAACGCATCGGAGAACGAGATTGCGTTCGTAGCGCCATTGCGTTTCAATTATTCCTCAACTGACAGCATAAAATAATTGAATGTATGTACACGTACAAAAAAAAACTCGGGACGTGACATTGTCACGGTTGTTACTGTTGTGAAACGTCTAAGGGCCACTTTAACCGATCCCGATTAACTTTAATCGACGATTAACTCAATCAGCGGTGTCGCCAACATGAAGACTTGTGTGTGTCGTTCTTATCCTATGGCTGATGGCAGAGAACAATCCGTAAACGCTTAAGACTGGCTTAGTCGTAGACGTAGGGCAAGGCAGAAAGAA